GAATTACTCGTAATAGCCAAAAGCTGGCAACTATCCATATGTCCATCAACTTGTGAACAGATAAATACATGTATATATCTGTATAACAGAATAGTATCCAGCCACAAAAACACACAAACAAACAAACAAACAAAAACATGTTACTGATATATGCTACAACATGGTTGGCCCTCAAAAACCTTATGCTAAAGCAAAAGAAGCTGGATGCAAAAAAGTACATATCATATAACTATATTTGTATTAAATGCCCAGAAAAGGTAAATTTATCAAGATACAAAGGAGATCAGTGGTTAATGAGGACTAGATATAAAAGTGAGGATTAACTACAAATGCGCACAAAAGAAGTTTTTCGAGTGATGAAAATGGTCAGAAATTACACTGTGCTGTTGGTTGAAAAACTATAAGTTTACTAAAAAATCATGTAATTGTACATTCACAAAGGATGAGTTTTATGGTATGGAAATTATACCTCAACCAAGCTTTTTTTTTTTTTTTTTTTTTTTTTTTTCAGAGTCTCGCTTTGTTGCCCAGGCTAGAGTGAGTGCCGTGGCGTCAGCCTAGCTCACAGCAACCTCAAACTCCTGGGCTCCAGTGATCCTTCTGCCTCAGCCTCCCGGGTAGCTGGGACTACAGGCATGCACCACCATGCCCGGCTAATTTTTTTTTTTTATATATATATCAGCCAATTAATTTCTTTGTTTTATAGTAGAGACGGGGTCTCGCTCTTGCTCAGGCTGGTTTTGAACTCCTGACCTTGAGCAATCCGCCCGCCTCGGCCTCCCATCAACCAAGCTTTTTTAAAAAAAGTGAATCTAATTCAGCAGCCCTGACAATGATTTTTTAGATATTTTTCAAAATTTTAATTAAAAGGTTGAAAATATTGTGTTTCAAGTCTATTCACTACACAGAGGGTGATCCCAACAAGAACACTTCTGCAAATCACAGGGGTTCTAATAATAATAGGAATAACTCAAATGTGCCGCAGGCAAACATGACATGTGGTTGGTTATCTTGGTAGGCATCAAGTCAGAATCCCAATGCCTTCATCTAGACTTGTGTAGAACAGATCATATCATGCAACTGAGCAACTCCTCATTTTAAATTAGTCTTCCTTAGATTTAGGAAGTGAAGAATTACCCTCCTCAGCGTCACAACTGGTTCATTTAAGCTCTCTGACACATCACAACTTCAACTCAGCCATCTGACAGAGGACCTGCTACCTGTTCTTTCCACTTAATACACAGGGATGCAGGCTGTGGTCAGATCCATAAGCAAGCCTGCAAACAAACTACTTTTGTATCTTTTTTACAAAAGCACATATGCTAAACTGTGCTAATTTCCCAAATCTCTGTGATACTAAAATTCATGCTGCTTCTTTACAAGGAAAAATGCTCATCACCTTTATATTTATGGTGCCTTCAATTTCTTTCTCTCTTCTTTTCATCCCCCTTTCAATAGGTATAAATCTAATATGTGCCAGGTACCGTATTAGGTGCTGAAGTAAAAAAAAAAAAAAAAAAGACAAAAAAGGCCAGTCAGGCAGGCCTTTTCAGATGCCCTCATGTCTTCCAGGGCATTCAGTGCTGTATCAGGGCAACAACAGCTTATAACTTCAGCTACTGAATGACGGTTGCGTTTTCAGCTACTGGCATGAGAAATCATTGCTATAGACTACTCTTCTTTTTCTAGGCAAATTAATTCCAATAATAGTTTTCAATTTTAATTCTTTCCTAAATTAAGCATTCAGACAATGAAAATATAATAAAATAAAGTAAGCCACTTTGAACAGTCCTTCTCTGCCCACTACTAATCTGCCTTTTGTGTTAAACAAAGCAGTTATGCAGTGGAACACAATGAAGTGTTTTTATTCTTGTTTAGCTTCCTAATTCAATGAAGTGGTTATATCCCAGAGCACCACTAGGTGGTGGTAAAAGTCACAGGCAAAAAGCCAGTAGATCCAAATTAGGAAGCTTGATGAAAAACGCTTAAGGCGGTATTCCACATGTCATTATTATTGTGCTGTTACGAACTAATTAAGAAACTACATTAGTACTGAGATATTTTATTAGTCCTAGAAAAAAATAGCTAAAAGTAGAAATTGTATCAGTTTTAGAAAAAGTAGAAAGTATGAATTCTACTATGAACTTATTAAAGAATCAGTCTTATGATATAAAACATTTGAATGAAATAATCCTTATAATGAAGTAATTAAGAGTTAATACTTAATTCTAATTTCTACTATCTTAGAAACAGATTTTCTGCTAATCCACATGTGAATTTCACTTGGCTTTCTTTGTATTTTACATTGTGGTTAGATAGAACACCAATAGTCCAGAATATCAAGTTACTTGGAGTTCCTCTAGTACACTGATATTTCACACTGCTGTGCCTTTGATCACTCACATGACTCTCTCTGCCCAGAATATATTTTATTACAGTGTGTGTTTAGAATATTTACTATGCATAATGTTTGGAATACAATAATGTAGTCTCTAACTCAAATTTACATATCAGTGGTAGAAACAGAACAGGTCAATGGTGAAGACAGTACAGACAACACAAGACGACAGACTTGTGGGAGAAGTCCTAAAGAACATGCCAAGGGCACCTTAATTAAAATTGTTGGGAGTGATCAGGTGAGTAGGGATAGTAGGTTGAAGCCTTTGGAACATGTGAGTGGAAACTAGATAGCAGAGGAGATAATGTTCAGAGTAGAAACAGCAGGGTACACAAGGGCTTGAGGGCTCTGTTGCACAACATTTTCAGAAAAGCTAGAACAGAACCCAGGAAGGCAGTAACAAGGCAAGCGGCTGAACAACTGGGGAAGAGTACTCACCCAGGGCACTTTCTGCCAGGCTAAGGATTTATTGATTTCTTAATCCCTTATGACACTGAAGGCTTTTGGGCAGGGGACCGACATGATCAATTTTGCATTTTCGTAAATACCAAAAGGCTGTATACACTAATAGTTATGAATGTGGACGCTAGCACTAGAGCCCAGGTTCAAATCCTAGTGCAACACTTATTGTTTGTGCAACGTTGAACAAATTGCTTCAATTCTCTGTGCCTCAGGTTTGCTCCTCTCTGCACTAGGAATATTAAAACTGTTATATCACAGAGTGGATATGAGAAGTAAATGAGTGACTGTTAGTAAAGACTTTAGAACAGCACCTGGCAGTTATAAAAGTGCAAGTAATTTTTGAAATAATGTTTTTTATTTTTATCGTGGCAAAATATATTTAACATAAAATTTACCATTTTAACTCTTTTTAACCACTTTGGTATGAGCATCGACTATAGTCGACAGCCACAGATGAACCGAGCGTCGACTTTGGCTGAGAGCTGTGATGTGAATTTTCTAATTTTTCATTTATCAAAATAAAACTGTGAACATTTAAAAATAACGTAATGAAAACATATATGTATATGTTACCTATTCTGATTTACATGACAAGTAAGGCTGCCTGTAAAGTAAAACAAGCTTTCAGTGCTTTCAAGCTTTCCTCATCACACAAGAGCAAAACGGACTCGTCAATGCACAGCACAGACTACGTGCGGACTGTGAGTGCCGGCTGTGGGCAAGGTTTCGCCACCGGTGAGCGCCGTACTGAAGTGGTTAAACACACCATGCAGTGGCATTAAGTATGTCCACACTGTTGTACAGCCACCACCACTATCCATCTTCAGAACTTCCCCAGCCCCTGGAATTCCCCATTCTATTTCCTGTCACTAAATTTGATTTCTCTAGGTACCTCATATAAGTTGAGCCATTCATGTCCTTTTGTGTCTGGCTTATTTTACTTAGCACAATGTGTTCAAGGTTCATACATGTTACAGTATATGTCAGAACTATATTCCTTTTAAAGCTGAATAATATTTCACTGGATGTATACACCACATTTTGTTTACCTGTTCATCTCTTGATGGACATTTGAGTTGTTTCCACTGTTTGGTTACTGTAATACTGCTGCTATGAGCATGGGCATACAAGTATTTGTATCTGTACGAGTCCCTGCTTTATTTCTTTTGGTTATATACCCAGAAGTAGAACTGTTGAGTCATGTGGTAACTCTGTGTTTAATTTTTTAAGGAAATACCATACTGTTTTCCACAGAGCCTGCACCATTTTACCACCATTTTAGCCACAATGCACAAGGGGTCCAATTTCTCCATATTATCACCAGTACTTATTTTCTGTTTTTTTTTTATATATATAATAGTCATCCCAATGGGTATGAAGTAGTATCTCCTTGCAATTTTGAGTGGCGTTTTCTTAATGATTACTGTTGTTAAGCATCTTTCCATGTGCTTATTAGCCATTTGTGTATCTTCTTTAAAGAAATGCCTGTTAAAGAACTTTACTCATTTTTTAATCAGGTTGCTTGTTTTTTGTTGTTAAGTGCAATTGTTATTTTTAACAGAACACTCTGGTGGCTGGTTAATGGAAAGCCAAACAGGAGACACGGAGTCAGAGGCTACTGCAAAAACTACAGCAAGAAATGCTGAATTGAGGGTGGAGTTGATAGGAAGTCCTATAATTTGAACAAGATAATGGAAGAAGAAATAAATGAAGGGGAATGGAAACAGCTTTGTAAACGATGAGATATGAGCCATAAGAAAGGGATGAGCCTACAGTGAGGCTGTGGTCTGTGACTTTGGCCAGTGGGCAGACAGCACTGCCATTCTCAGACATGGGGAATCCCAGAGGAAGGTTGGTAACAAAGAGAGCACTTAGACCCTTCCCCTCATCTGCCTGTCTTCTAAGATGCAGATCACAAATCACAGCATCCAATCACGCCTCCATTACATCCATTTTACATCTCTATGTCCTACTGCTGGTCTCGTGTAAGACTGCATCTTACTCATTTTCATATCCTTAATACCTCGTGTGTTAAATGTTTGCCTTTAAATATACTGAGAAATAGAGCGGGCAGAGAGAGGGAGATGGATACAGCATTTGAACGATGGACAGAAACAAATGTGGTAATCAATTTTTTTACCTGCTTCAGATTCAGGAGGGGAATAAAACTGGCCATCAGAAAGACCGCCGGGTAAAAGTGCCGCACTCTCTGAAGCATCCTGAACTATCAGGAGTCCTGGAAGAAAAGAAATTCCGACCTTGGCAATGTTGTTATGTTTCTGGTAGCTTTTTGGCAAAATTAAGTACAAGAAAATGGTATTATTATTATTACTACAATAAAATACTCTTAGAAAAAAAGGTACTTTGAAAAACTTTCAATCAACAAATAAAAGTTTTCATTAATAAACTATGCAACAATACTGTAAGGACAGGTAACCAAGTATTAATAGTTTAAAAAATTGCCCCTGGTTACTCATGAGATTCTTTCACTGTATGTATATATGCATCTTACCCTTGGATCTAACTCCTTATAAAAAATCAACAACCTCAAAAGCAAAACACAAAGTGAAACAAAAAAACCCGGTCAGCCTGTACACATAAATGGTCTATTGGCTGCACTGGACACAGAAATGCCAGATGTAAAGTGTAATGCATGGATGGCTTTTTATAAATACATAAAGAATAATTAAGACGACAGAGAAATATTTATGCACAAAAAAGGTTTCCAAAGAAAAGAAGTGTATCAAAAAACAAAGAAAAAAGAAGGAAGCATGATGTGGACAGCTCAAAATACCAACACATGAAAGGCCGTCAAGCTGGTTTTTTTGGCTGAAAGCTGAACTCATGTTAAGAGGAAGTTGGAGGAAGCACCAGGCCGGAAGGCAGATGCCAGGTCCGTGTGTAACAAGTGACCAGGAAAATGCTGCTTTTACAGTTCTCATTAATTACGTATGCTGCTTTATTAGTTACTCTTAATTTGGTTTAATCATGTAACCATTCAAGTCCCAATCATATTATTAATAGCCAATATGTTTTCAATAACGTTCTGTTTGATATTTATGTCCAATAAAATAATACTTCCATTCTGTTTGCCTATCCCTTCTCTACAATACAGAGGGCACAGAATATAGAAGACACATCTTGGTCTGATTAATATGTTTTTAAAATCTACTTTTGAATTATAACTTTTTTCTTATAAATTTTTTTTTCTGCAAATGAGATTTTCCAAAATAAAGCCAACTGCAAGGCTCCTGCTGTGTTGTGAACTTATAATCATGCTTAACTTTCTATAAGATACAAGATTTGCTTTTCCTATTGGGCAGAACTAATTGATCCAGATGATTGACAGAGGCATAAAAACAGCATGTCCCGAAACTGTATAATTATCTAAAATGAGCTTGGACCATTCCACCTCCAAGAAGGGTGGGTGAGGCATGTGGGCTTCCATTAAGGACATCATGTGGGAAAGCATTCCAGCCCGATATTAACCATCGAGCTCAGTCATTTGGCCTCCCTAGCTAACACCCTGAGATACTGACAGCTACACGGTGAGATCATACAGCTTTGGCAGGACCCATGAGTGCACCACACTGGCCGCCACTCAGCTACTTAGAGGAGGATGGTGAAAGGCTGAGACGGTTTGTCTTCCTCCTCTGAACTTCACCATTAACCCACGCTAGGCACTTAACTGTACTAATTACAGCCCATCCAAAGCCACCACCTGCTCTATGGATAGCAAAGTGAAACTTTGGAAAATCACTGACGTATATTTAGAATTGCTTCCTCAGCTCACTTAAAATTGGCTTAATGTTCTCTGCCCCTAAACAGCACAGTTCTGTTTATATGCACAAGACACCTAGTGTTATGTCACTATTCTATTAAGGAAAAAAGGTCAACACGTCTGGGGAGAAAGAAGTGTTGGCCATTTTCTGTTGTTGTTTGAATGTCTTTTTTGCCAGTGTTCACATTTTCTTCCAGGGGAAGCCTGGCCCAACAGCTGGAGAAAGGAGCCATATTCTGGTACTATCCTGTCATCCACCCAACCCTTCTCTTGATTCCTGATGTAGCCACTAAAGAATGGAGACACTGCAGCTGCCGAACTCTACTCAGCTACAGATGCATTCACATCAAGACATCCACCTCTTCCTTCCAGCTTGGTACCCAGACAGTCTCAGGAGGCTGATTTGAGAGGAACTTACTGTTTTCTTCTTCTGCTTCTTGAGGTAACACTTTGAAATCCAGGAACCATGTCTCAATCCAGGCAAGGATGAATGAAATGATGGGCAGCACATAGCCAAAAGCCCCTTGAGAGAAAAGCTGGAGGAACAGATGTGACCAGGAAAGGGAAATGCAGTTAATATGAACCCACACAGCAAAAATGAGGCTTAGTCATTGCAGATGGCAATTGCACAGAAAAAGTAGAAGGTCATACCTTTGAAAGGATCACTTTTGCTAATAAAAAGGCACTGGTCACTGCTGTTGTCAACTGCAAGACACATAATCCAGCACCATTCCAATTAGACATTTCACACTGTGAAGGCACCTCCCTCATACAACAGACTTGTCTGAGCCAGGAGCAGGCAATGCCTGAAAAACTTGTGCCCGGCCTGGCTTCTTCCTATCTCACTCTAGCTCTATCTCTTTACCCAGACTGGGGCAAATGGGCTTCTATGTGGTATGCAATCCCTACATGACAGCTTCTGGTTTTCCTTCTACCACATTCTAGTAGGCTGATGTGTTAGAAAACTGTGTTTTATCCGCCAAAAGTTATAGTATCCAAAGCCTGTATAATCACATAGAAGAAGAGACCAGTGAAATATGTAGGTAGCACTCTCCCTAGGGATCGTGAAGCCCAGAGACACCACAGTACCTGAGCCTTGCCACTCCCTCCTCCAACTAGCATTTTTAGCATGGTGAAACCTGACCAAAGTGAACGCCAATAATAGCCTGACTGACAGAAGGGACGCCAGTGAACACCAAGTATCTTGCTCAGTAAATGTTAACAGAGTTACCTATCGATACACCCCAGCCAGAGTGCCTCTCTTGGGAAAGGAGGCATCTTGCATTCTGACACAAATTAACTTTACAGGCTGATACTTATTGTTATGGAGACTCTGAAGCGCCCTGAACTATCAGGAGTCCTGGAAGGGAAGAAATTCAGATGTTGGCAATGATGCCACCTTTCTAGTAGCTTGTGGCAAGATCAATTACTATAAAATATTTTCATTATTACAATAAAATACTCTTTAAAAAAAAGAGGTACTTTGAAAATCTTTCAACCAAAAAATAAAGGTTTCATTGATAAACTATGAAACAATATTGTAAAAACAGATAACCAAGTAGTTTAAAAAACTGTCCCAAATGGAAACTGTTATAGCAAAATGGGAAGGTATAATCATCACAGTTATTGTTGGATCTGCAAAAGAGTATTCAAGAAAGGGAGTCAAGTGTGGCAAAGAACGTCAGCTTCTGTCCCTGACCTCAGCCCTGTTGTCTGTGAATGCGCAGAAGAGATGGCCCAGGCAGACGTGGCCCCCTGGTGGACCCCGGAGAGCATTACAACTCCCAATCCCAGCGGGACAGGCCTGAGCCAGGCCCACGCGAAGGTCTCACCTTCTGATCACAGGACTGCATGTTACTCCTGAGCAGTTCTCTCTTGTCTGAGGAACTCAACATTCCCTCCCCCCTCATGGAATTGCACTCGTAAAGCTATAAAAAAGGTGAATATTCATTTTTTTGTCTTTACAATTATTGTAAATCTCTGTATGCACTTTGCTTTTTTTATTAAACTCAAGGTGAGCCTTGACTCTTTGGCAGTGGCAGAACGAGATTGTACACTAACACCAGCATGGATGGACCTGCTTTCCCATTGTGTCTGAAACGTGAGCCAAGTAGTGTCAGCCTGCTGTGAAGTTTAATCTTGCCAGGACGAATCTTCTACAGATATTAATTTCAATTTTTTTTTCAGTATTTAGTAATGAAAGATATTAATGCATTAATGGTAATACATTTCTGGTTTACTATTAATTAAGGATGTTTTCTAGTTGTGCATGAATGCTGGCAACTCAGTAAGTTTTGACAATTGTTTAAATATGTAATGTTAAGCTTAGGTTTAAAAAGTAAAGCTGGTAAACTGGGTCTTTGTCATTTGCTTTAAAAAAAAAAAAGAAAAGAAATGCGAATGTGTTTGGTGCATTCTTTCTTGAGTGAGAAAAAAAAAAGATGAATATTCAGAAGCAATTCAGGCAGAATTGCTAGTAATTCTTCTTTCAATCTCTACATATTTATTGAGGGAACCAAAGTTCTGTGCTAGACGCAAGGAAACGAATGAGTAGAAAGGTCACAGCCCTCGAAGAGCCCGAAGGCAACAACAGAAAGGAGACTGGTAGCCTTCTCCTCCAAGAGTGGAGGGAGAGTAAATAAAGCAGAGGGGAAGGCAACTATCAAAATAAGCAGAAGTGAAATCAGTAAAAAAGTCACTAAGCAGTTTCAACGAAACAAAAAATTTTCCAAATATTTCTGAGACAGAGGCACTGCTTTCATCTCGTATTTGCACAATGAGGTAGGTTGGGTTGGTGCTCGGCCAGTAACTGCCGTTGGACCTCTTGCTTCCTCTTTTGGCCCCGCATCCATAGAGATAAAGCCAGTTACTCACTGGCACTGGGAAGAAGTCTTGCAGTGTCAAAGCTACTCAAGTGCAGAGGAAGAGGACTCAGGGAAAGCTAGTGGAAATCCACCCAGATCAGAAGGGCATCCTCTCCCGGCTCCCCCTGGAGCGGACGGATGATCCGCTCATCCAGGTGTACTCACCGCTACTGCCCACCAATGGCGCAGTCTGCACACAGCATATGCAAGTATTAACACTTTAAATCGAAAAACTGCCAAAAGCTAAAAAAAATAGAAAAAAGAAAGAGACATTATTCAAAATACATACAAAAAAAATAATTTAGCTTTATAAAGAATTTGTCAGACAGTCTCCATTATTCCAATTTAGCTGGAGACTCCCACGGACTAGCACTGGTCTGTAGACCAGCATTTGGGAATCCCTGCTCTAGAACTTAACGGAATACCAAATAAGGTTTCACATTAACCTCCCACTATCAACAAAAGAAAAAAGGCAAAACGGGGGACAGCATTTTCATCGTGCTGTTATATAAGAAGGTGAATTTTCCTTGCAGTGATGAGGGTATGACAATGAGCTCCATTTCAACCATTTGAAAGAATTAAGGCTCTACACCAAGAAAAATGGGAATGGCTCCTTCTGCTGCCCTCTCTTGTCTGTCAGTGATCTTGTCCCTTAAAATGATCAGGCCATTCCTTAGCGAGAGAGAGAGAGAGAGAGAGCAATGAACGGGTGGGAAATTAAAGGAAAAGGAAATATGGTCAATGTTTAAGGGAGGGGAAAAATGGCACAGAATGTGAAGTCTATTTAGAGAAAATGTGCCTTTTGGTCTCAGTTTCATTGTGTCTGAAATGAAATATAAAACAAAAAATACTTACAAATATATCAAAATAAGAAGAGTAGTAGTCATACTGCACCACTTCCCTCTCTAATGTGTTTTCAATGCCTCCATTCACCTAGGAAGGGGAGGAAGAAGCAAAAATGAGGACAGATTTATGTGTGAAAATAAAACAAGAGTAAGGTTTCCTATGTATTTTTTTCTGGCTAGAAATGTTAAAATGTGGAAGAAAAGAATCCTCATGATTTTAATAGAAAAGGGCTGAAAAGCATTTCTCCCTCAATTCCGAATTCATTTGACAGATATAAATGTATAACAAAAATAATGACTTTTGTGGTCCACATCTTGGCAAACCAAAATGTTATCTTTTTCCCATTTAAGACAAAGTCTCCCATCATACAAATGTATATTTTAAAGAAGGCAGTTCACCCTTTATCCAGGCCTCCCTCACTTTCTAGCCACTTTCCACAGTCTCAGGTCTTGGAAGGCCTTGGGCCTCCTGATCTCCTGGCAAACATCAGTGAGGCGGTTGCCATGACACGGGACAGAAATGTAGAAGTTCTCTGTGATTTCTTGTTTTTATCTGCTCCTGGAAGTTTAAAATTCAGTACTCTTATCAATTTATGTATTTAATGTGAATAACAAAATAAGAGACAGAGGAGAGCCAAATCATGTGTGAGAACGTTATATACTAAATGATGGAGATCAGACCTGATAAGCTTTCTGTCCTCTCCCAATTCTGTCAAAATAAATTTTAAATTGACAAGGGCAAAATTCTACAAATTAAACTATGGAGAGCGTTTTATGAAAAAATCATGAAGAGGACACGTGCCAGGCGGCAATGCAGCAGCCAAGCAGGCATTCTGCAACTGTTAGGGCCCTTGGAAAAGCCCGATCTGAGGGAATATGATGTGCGACAGTAAATTCAAGTTTCCAATTTGGAACATAGTCCTGGCAAGCCAATGCAGAGGGTCTGAAAAAGGATAAAAGGGCAATTAACCAGAGACCTGGGTAAGAGGGGCATAAAATTAATAAGGAACATCTTTCAGAGGTTCAGATTAGAATAAAAGTTGCCATAAGGAAAAGGTGTTCTTGGCTTAGCTATATTTTCAAGTATTTGTATTTGTTATACAAATGAAAGCATACCATAAGCATTATTCTGCACCTTAAAATCCCTTAAGGAGGGCTAGATTTTTGTAAAATAGCACAGATGGGCTGCAGACCTCCTTGGCTACAGACCTTTACAAATAAAACAGAATTGAAAACCTAGGAGTAAGTAGAAGTAATTCTTAAAAGCCAACCAATCTAGTCTCATCACTGTCTTTCCAGACCAGGGGTCCTCAAACTTTTTAAGCAGGGGGCCAGTTCACTGTCCCTCAGACCGTTGGAGAGTGCGGCGCACATTCCACACATGTGCACTGTGGGCCCGGGAGGAGTCGGCTGCTAAGCAGGACAGGCAGCAGCGGCAAAAACACCCGGTGGGCCGGATAAATGTCCTCAGCGGGCCGCATGTGGCCCGCGGGCTGTGTAGTTTGAGGACGCCTGCTCCAGGCTAAGGAAACTTGCCAATATCCGTAATATTAAAAGAATGATTATTCTGAGTGGCAAGCAGGAGTTCTCTACCACACAGAGACTTCCCACTTCCATTCCTGAGAGAAGCTGCCAAGTTTGCAGGAAAGAGCTCCCAGAAAAAGCTCTTCTCTGGTATCTGCATACTTTAAAGGACTCTGATTTTGTGTTGCCTTTAAATAGAGCTATCTAACATTCGTATCTCTAGTCCTAATTTGTACTCTAAATCCTTATTTCAAAATTTTTATCTCTAGCTCAAGATGTCTTAAACAGACTATCTTTCCTTTCACACAAAATCCCTCCCCAGTCATGGTTCTTTCTGGCACTGCTCTTCTAGCCTTCATCATTAGAAACCTTGGTCACCTTTGGATAGTGGGATGATAAAATCAGCCTATCAACAAGTCTTCTGATATTTAGTATGTCTCCCAGGTTAACCCTTTCCTTCCTATTCCCACCAGCCCCATACAACAGCTTCCGAGTGAGTGCTCTGATGCCAATTTGTCCTTAGTTGAATCCAGCTCGCACACCACTGCCGCAGTGATCTTTAGCCATTAACTGAAATATTTTCTGAGCACCTATTAAGTGCCAGGCACTGTTCTAAATACAGGAAATGCTTTGGTAAACATAACAATATTCCTTTGTCTTCATGGAACTTACATTCTAAGCAAGGCAAGGGAGATGACGAACAGGAAAAGAAGAGCTGCACAGAGAACAGAAGTAGGACAGTGGAATGGAATAATGGTGGCATTTAAAATGATACCAGCAATAAGAAGCCAGAGTCTACAAAAAGATACAGGACATGAATCATTTCACATACAGGAAACAACTAGTAGAACAGTCCCAAGACAGAAAGGAGCTTGTTCCAGTCAGGGAACAGGAGGAGGCAAGTGTGGCTGATGGAACAGAGGGTGGGAAGGAAGTCTGGAGAGGCTCCTGGGAGCTTTGCAAGCCAAGTTATGACATTTGGATTTTACTCTAAGTGAGGTCTAGCAAGCCAGTAAAGGTTTTCAATAGAAAGTGATATGATCTGACTTATGTTTTTCATAGGTTGGTCTGGCTACTATGAAGAGCATGGACTGCAGGGTAAGAGCGGACCAGGCAAAACAGCTGGGAACATGGTGCAGCAGTTTGGGTGAGTGATGAGGTGGGCTTGGTCGAGGGTGGTAACAGCAGAAAAGAAGTGGTCACATTCACAATCTATTTTAGAGGTATATTTGATAGGACTTACATTTAGACTGGATATAGGACATGAAAAATACAAAACAAACAAGCAAATCAATCAAGGATGAGTCTTCATTTCTGGCCTGAGCATCTGGGTTTGTTTGCTGAAAAAGAAGGGGGGACACAGGTGTGTGTGTGTGTGTGTTGGGGGGAGCACGTTAAGTCAGACACCCAGCTGGACACGTCAGGGAGGCTGGGATGTAGACTGCACATCACTGACTTCTGGATGATCTCAAAACCATGTTTCCTATCTGCTCCAGAACCTGTAAGAGCTCACCATCACAGTAAATCCAAACACTTCCATTCATATATACCTTTTAATAACTTTAATCATCGAGGACAAGCCTACCTATGCAATTCCACTTAACATAGGCACCTTACTTTCTAGCCACACAAGTGTTTTCTCAGCCTCTGCCAATGCCCCCTCCAAACACACACACACACACCTACACACACATGAACAAGCACACTCTGCCTCAGTACTTCCGCTCACCTTGATCTCCAAACCCTCTCTCCAGTGCTCCCACACTGTGGAGATCATCCATCCCAGATCATCTTTCCATCCCAGGTGTCACCCACCCATCCTTCCAAACCCAGTTCAGTCCACCTCCTCTGCTCACTCCCTCAGATAGTTCCAACCCATGGCTCCCCCTCATCTGAATTTCTGGGGGTCATCACTGTTTATACAACAGAGTGACAGTGGGATGACAGAATCAGAATCAGAATCACTGGGGTAACAAGTACCTGAAACTTAAAAGTAACAATAGTGAGAGAACAGTAACTAACATTTTCTTTTCTATGTTAAATTTATTTCAGTTATTATAATAATAAATTCCATCACCTATGGTTGTGTAGATGTTTATGACTCCTGAGGGGCTGCTCTATACATCTTTCCACTTGATCCTCATTTGAACCCAAAGGAAGGCAAGAACAGTATTGGTTCAGTGAAATGACTGAGAAACTGAGGACCAGAGAACTTAGACATCTTGCCTAAGGCCACAGAGCTGGTAATGATAGCTCTAGGTCAAATTAGAAGTGTTCTGAGACTTTTTAGTATACTAGTGAGAAATAATAAGAAAACAGGCAGTAAGCATTGATAAAGGCCTTTTTGAAACGCAGTCTTAATATCGACATCTACAAAGCAAACAATTTCCCTTCCCCTGCCACTTTGATCCCTGTTCATATCGATCTAAAGAGTCTGGGGGAGGGTCTGGAGAGGAAACAGAGTCCTCAGAGAACTCTAGCCATGGTTAATTCCAGGCCCAACATGGGAAATTAGTCTAGTCAAAGGTAGACCAAGAGAGCCCCTGGACAGAATCAAAACCATCCCTTTAACTGACCCAAAAGAGATCAGTTACCCTAAGATGTTCTAGAAGGAAAATGAACCAAGGTGGTGTTAAGCTTCTCTGGGCTTGCCCGGGCCCTGCACTCCGGGCTGGGATGGTGTCAGTGATTTCCCTGGAGCAAGGAGGGAAAGTGGCCAGTAAGGCAGAAGTCATATATGAAAGCAAAGTTCCTTGGTTACTGTTAGAATTGCAAAGAACAGCTGGCTCCCCCCATTCTCTTCTAATGGCCTAAGCACTCTTTATGACATTTAATTTGTTCTTTTAAAGACTAACATAACAAGGCAATAAAAGACATGTGCCATGTCTCCCCAGCTAAACTTTAAATCTCATATGGTTTTGCAGAGTTTGCAACACCTGAATCAGAACTGTGCTCAGTAAATGTATAGACGTGTAAAAAAAAACCAAAACAATGGATTTCAGTGATTAGAGATTTACAAAGAGATAACAAAAGACAATGAATGGTACGGTGTGTAATGAAAAACTCAGGTCAGACTGACTATTTAAAACAAACAGAATTAGAAACTGGACACTGAAAAAAAAGTACTAAAGAAGTCATGATACTCCTCTTAAAAACATCTGCATTCTCTCTTAAAGATCATATACCCTTATCAAATCTTCTAATTTTACTATTGGGGAAACCAGTAGTGAGGATAAAAACACATTTCTAAGTTGGTAGCCTGGGGATTTTGCATTTATAACATGTTGCATGCAAATGTAAATAGATCCCTTCTGAAAACAAGAACTGTGGCAGCCTACTTTATTTCCATTTCCCAGAAGAAGCGGAAGGAAGTGAGCCCTGTGATCTAGGAACTCCACCACAGCTACTCCATGACTTCCCTCACGTAAAGCCACAAAGTGAGATTAGTGGCCAAAGCAAAGAATACTGTGACTTTGTGCTGATGTTAAAATAATTTTTAAGTGTACCCCCATAAAACTGCTGCTATGCTTCCTGTTAAAAGATGGATTTCTTATTCACATCTCGTTATACAATTGTCAGTTTTGAAAATACCTGACTCCTTTAAAATATAGATTAATTTAAATAATTTCTTTAATGTATGCATATGGAATAAAAAAGAGAGTCATTCTAAATTACTATGTCATATCACTGACCCATGTGCTTTTAAACAAAAGTAGGGCATTCCCACAGGGCTAAGTTAACAGAAGGAAAATCTGTAAACAGAAACTTAAGAGTAGATTCATGTTGCATATCACTGTGATTATGACACAAATCTTATTTTCTAATAAAACTGTATGCTTTCATAATGAGTTTTCTTCCTGTATTAGGATTCATGATGAAACTAAATGAGATTCAGTGACCCTAATTATTAAGAGACTAGAGAGTCTAGAATTGAAATTGTTGTTATGAATCAGAATATGAATCAGAAATTAGATTAAGATGTTGACTCTTGCTGTTAAAAGGAAAAATTTTAAATCATTTTAAAACAGGAATTTCAAGATCTTTTTAGTATTTTAATAAATTCTTATAAAGCACCTAGCATTGTGTCTACTAATAAACAATAGGTAATAATTATTACTACCTATATCTTAGCAAACACTTCCTGGAAATAAATGAACTGCTGAAATGAAAGAAACAGACCATCTTTCCTTGTGAGGAAAGCCTTCTGGGAAGAGCTCACATATTTGTTGGTGAGGAATGTAAACAGACTCAAGATTGAGTGAGAAAACAAATATATTGGATTAAATAAATTATTAAAATGAATTTTACTTGTTTATTTTTACTTGTATTAATGTGGCATCTAGAAAAGTTGAAATTACATATTTTAAACTTTGCATTATATTTTTGTTGGATGATACTGGTCTAGACAATTATTTGGAAATAAAGTATAACTCCAAATGCCTTTAGGATAGATACTCTTTTTCATAAATTATGAATAAGTAATCTCTGAAAAAAAGTAAAGAATGGACACATGCAAATCTTAAATGTAAGAATCAGAAAAGCAGATGAAACATATAAAACATATTCGAGAAGCATTTTTTTGGAAGGAATATCATGAAACTTTTTCTAAAGAGGGCTACGGAATAAGTATTTTTTGCCTTGGAGGGTCAGAGGGTCTCTACCACAACTACTCAGCTCAATTAGCATAAAAGCTAGCCATAAACAATATATAAACAGATAGGCATGGCTATGTTCCAATAAAACTTTATTTACTAAAACAGCCTATTTTTTTTTGTCAATTTCTGCTATAAAGTAAAACACCAGAAATCCAAATTTCAAAGTCTCATACAGTATAAGTTTTAAATTTACTTTTTTTTTTTTTTTTTTTTTGAGACAGGGTCTTTCTCTATTTCTTGTTCTACAGTGCAGTGGCGTCATCATAGCTCACCACTAACTGCAACCTCAAACTCCTGGGCTCGAGCAATCCTCTTGCCTCAACCTCCCGAGTAGCTGAACTACAGGTGTATGCCACCACACTCTGCTAATTTTTCTATTTGTTTGTAGAGACTGGGTCAGCTAATTTTTCTATTTTTTGAGAGAGACTGGGTCTCACCCTTGTTCAGGCTGGTCTCAAACTCTTGGCCTCAAGCAATCCTCCCGCCTCAGCCTCCTAAAGTGCTAGGGTTACAAGAGTGAGCCATGGTGCCTGGCCTCAGGTTTGTTTTAAACAGTAACATTAGAGAACAAGAAAGGTCCAAAGCAGCTGGAGAAGAGCAATGTTATCTCATTTGGAAAAAGATGGAAATCACTAAATGAAACAGAAATGATGAGAAAAATAAGAAGACTGTTTTTTGTTTCTGGAAACATTTTTTTATAAAGTCATGAAAAAAAAATCCAACTTACATTTAACTCTATTATCCACAGTAATGTTACAAATAAGAGGTCAAAGGTGACAAACAAACAGAAAGTCCTCCTGACATCAGATATGCCCTTCTTTTCCCTTCCTTCATAGGACTCAATCCTGGCCATGAGTTGTGTGGGGTTGATGGAATGGACGCTGCGCACGGAAGCATGGGAGCTCTGGCTCCCGGTAAGAACATTCTCCATGTCTTCTGGCAGGTGGTTCATCCCAGGGTGGGTTAAAGGAGCCTTTTTCCAACTTCACCATTCCTAGAGAGAAGAGACCTTTGGGGAATAAAAGAGAGATACCATGTTAAATCCACAATCACCTAATACTACTCTACTACCCTCACCACTACGTGAGGTGTAGCAACAGGGTGTCCTGACTGATGTATGTCTTGATGCAGACATAAAGACAAAGTGAGATGAGAAGCAATGCTTAACGTTTTCAATCAATACTACAAAGTAGTTGTTACAGAAAGCAATGGCAACAGGAAAAGGTGAAAGATAGGACGTTAACCACAATTAAAAGGTGGTCCTGGTAACCTGGAGTAGGGCTCTTGGTGAATGAGCCATGCCAGTTCTCTTGCTGTGCCAGGGAGAAAACCTCTGCAGTCCTGTAAGTGTCACTACACATGGACAAGAAAACTATTTACTGAATGCCTTCCTGGAGCGTGTACGCAGAACACATGAACCAGCTATAAAAAGGTTATTTCATAAGACAGAATTGCTTTCTACCAAAAATACCTAATAAACTGAATTTATCACTTCCTCATCCTCTTAATGGACAGGAATATTTCCAGGCCTCTTTTTGAAAAAAAGAAGTGTACACACTCCAAAAAGTTCTGTACTATGCAACTACTGGATTGATAATTACAGAAGTTACAGCCCTATACAGAGATGCAGGTCTCCTAAAGCTAGGATATGCTTTTATAATGAAAGTAAAAGATGAGTAACCTAAAAATCTGATCTCCTCATGGATGGGGCAAAGTCATTAAATAGAAAGTGACTGTTTTTCAAATATCCCAGTTTCCCTTCCTGTAGTACCTCTCCCTGGGGGATTATGCAATCCTCGCTCTTTGAACTCAAGTCCTTTCTTTGGCCACGAAGGTGGCCATGTAATGTGGGCACAGGTTTGTGGGTCACTTGTGTCCAGAAGTACGAAGAGCCAGTGTGTGGCTCACCATGCTTTCCTTTCTTTCTGCCACAGTGACTGGCAATGGCCAGATAAAGAAGAGCATTTTCAAAGAGGTAAAACTGAATTTGGAAACAGACTGCTGAGATTTCTTTAAAGCAATATTGTCCTATTTGGTCCTATTCACTGTCCAGAACTTTATCTCTTTATACTTGACCCTGATTTCTCTCCCTTCCTACACTCAGGCACAAAAGTCCTTTCCATACTTCTATGTAGTGTGGTGGTAAAGGGCATGAAAATTTTGAAAGCAATTTGATTATATGAAATAAGACACTTTAAAATATTCATACCCCTTGACCTTATAACTCCAGTTCTGAACTACAGACCTTGAAGGCAATAAGCGATGGCATCAGAGGCCAGGTTAATGATTTCCTTCAAGAGAGGCAGGAAATAGTGATTAGAGGGTACAAGGTTGGGGGTGTACTTAGAGGACTCGGCAAAGTTCTAGTTCCTGACCTGAGTAGTGGTAACATGGCTGTGCTCACTTATTGATAATTTATTGATGTAGACCGTAGCTCCAGTGATGTGTTAACTCATGAAAAATTAAAAAACCTGTGTATTTATGTACACGTATACATAAATGAATAGTGTATGTGTTATCTTTCAATAAAAATGTCTATTAAAAAGACTTCATCATCATGTATCTGTAATAATCTCAATTAGAAAACAAACTAAATATCTAACAATAGGGGAATAATTAGATAAATCATGGTATAGCCACAGTATAGTCCTTAAAATAAATGTTTACAAAGCATTTATAATGACCTGCAAAAATACATGGTTTACAATAATAGCTAGATTAAAATCTAATACTAAAGAGAATACGCAAACATGTAGTACATTCACAACTCTGTAAAATAAATCTAAACCAAATTCTTATAAGAATATACCTATGAAATATATCAGATGTTAGCAGTGATAATCTCTGGCTGATAAAGTTATATTTCCCTCCTTCCTTTTACCTTTTCCACATTTTTCAAATTTATTTTTTTGTACTTACTAAATTTATAACAGGAGGGACTATATTCACATGTCATTTTGTTAGGGTCATGGACAAATATCCCAGGACTCTGTGCAGCTCTTCTCTTTCTTATCTGCTTATCTAGGTGACATTAGGAAACAGTGTCATGGGCATTTAATTAACTTCCTCAGAGTCAGCAAATGAACAAACCATTTTGAAAATCTCAATAGGAGTCTACTTCAGTGATTTTTAAAAGACAATATAAAGATCCAAAAACTGAAAATATTTCTACATAATTTGTCTCAATGAGATCAATATCATCCTAGTGAAGGAATATCAATGGCATACTCCCCAGTATAGCAGCTCTTAAAACAAAGCTTGCAAAGCACTACAATGACCTGTCAGACTTCTAGGAGCTAAAAATGAATATAAAATATATATATATTTTTTGTGATGAAGCACACTTTTTGAAGTTTAAAGAGATAGCTGAGATGTTCTTTAAAATTGAATCTGGATGAATAAAGACATATTTCTTCAGTAATACAGTCTACATTAAGAAAAAGCAACCCAGTAATTCTTAAGCCATTCTAATAATCTAATAGCAACTGTATTTAAAAATTAATTTCAATTCTTACATTCTCTAAACTACTTGGGAAATCCAACAAATTCAACACTATGGTGCTTACACAGTAGTAATATTCTCCAGGGATTAGGGGGATGGGGGGTGGTAAACTCACAACTAAGGGATGTGGTGCGCATTATAGAGGGGAAGGGCATGTCTCTAGTCCTCGCTTGAGTGAGGCAAAGACCTAAAATGTAACCAAAATGTTTGTACCCTCATAATATCCTGGAATAAAAATAAAAAAAAATTGAAACTGAGGATTGCTTTTAGGAGGAAAATCATTGTCAAACTAATTGGATCATTTTCTATCTCTCACTCCTTCTTCCTTCCACGAACCCACTCCTCATGAATACAAAAAGACAACAAAGAAAAACACCAACCATAAAAATCTGAGGCTCACATTTCAAACTATAAAACAACATTATACAATGGTATACACATGACTTGGGAAATGAGAATCATTATTTATCAGATGTTAAAACTGATAATTAGCTAGAATTTACAGATGGTTGCAATAGCCTCAATAATAAAGTTACCCAAAGAACAGACTGCTCAAAGCAGCTTGATTCTAAACAAAGTGATTTTTCACTGGGAAACAAGGAAATCATAAAAAAGAGAAAGCTTTCTTTTCTCTCTTTCTTTTTAAAAAATTTACCTATACCTACTCCAGCGAATTGGTCTAGATATAACAAGTGAAAGTGTAGATCATTTAGGTCTTGAAAATACATGGTTCAGGCTTGTAGGATAAGTTTTTTGAATGAAATTTCTACTCAAAAAAGGGAAAGTAAGAGAAGAAGGGTGCTTAGTTTGAAAGACTCATGCTAGTGACATACTAATTAAACTTACACACATTTGGCCATCTTTGTCCTCTATCTCCTTCACTGCCAGTGAAACTGACTAACAGTAACTGTCACTACATCTTGCAATTCACAACAGCAGGTAAACAAATTTGACAGTCTCTATCACACTCCAAAAAAAAAAAAAACCCCAATTACCCCTGAGGGATAATTTCTTGGGGGGATTGGTAGGAAATTGTGGGCAAGTGGGAGGAGAGAAAAAGCTCAAGAATATTTTTATTCCTATAAAGAGATATGAACTGGGATATTTAGGAAGTACTGGTCAAAAATACTAAGGAAATACCAGCTAATTTGTGTTCTGTAGGGAAATCTTGGTTTCTGTACTATTAGCCTTTATAATAAAACTGGACTTGATTTTTCTGTGATGAATTTTATTGTGATAGACTTGAGTTAAAGATACCTTCTAAATACACGTGTATTTGACTTAATAGATATATTTTTTCTCAAATGTATATATATATATAGAATGTTTTACCCTGAGTTCCTTAAAAAAATACAGGATAAATAAGATAAAAATTAGTAAAACAGGGAAGAATAAGAAGCACTGCACTGGCTTCTTGATGAGCTCTGAAGTGACACACTAGTCAGTGGCTGGCAGGTCCATTCAGCAGGTGGTAGATTTCCAGATATGCAAAGTGAAGAAAGGATGCCTCGGGGCAGTCTGTAGGAAGGGCAGAGAAGACGGGTACATCTTCCCAGCTTCTTCCTGTTGCTTATTTCCATCAGTCAAATTTCTCCTGACAGTAGGTTAACTCCAATGCACTTCTGGTTGCTTAATTTGGCCAAGATAGACACAAAAACTCTCAGTGTGGGACTTATCTTAAAGCCAGATTTACAAAACATTACTAGTTAGGGCATTTCATTCAAGTTTTAAGGGAAGATACAAAAACTCTGAGTGTGGGACTGGTGAGCCTGGGAGGTGAAACCCTAAAGACGGAGTAGAGCTGTCTGGCCAGCAAAGACAGCATCTGAAGGTTCTTGAGGCAATTACAAGGGAGAATAAGCAATTGCATAAAATGCATTATGGAATTTGTATATGCAATTAAGTAATGGATTTGCAGTTTGCATCTACATCAGTATCACCCATGCATCTTGGTTAAATCCCATATACCTGAACCATGTGATTCTGACACTCATGGAGGGTCAGAGCTTCCTTTTAACATGCAAAGTGAAGGATTGTTCCTAAAGCACCTTTCTATTCCTTATCTGACTGCATCATAACATAACAGCATTCTTCAGAAAGATGCAGTGCAAGTGTCAGTTCCATCAGGAAGACTTCCCTGAATGCTCCCCATGTTCCAATCTCCAGGCAAAGTCAAGTTCATCTCTCTAACCCCTGCCAAGACTGAGGATGTGCCATTTATGACACTGCTTACCACACTACGCCTTCACTAATCCACTTACCTGTGTGCCTCTCCTGCCACCTGGTGTACTCTTTAAAGGCCCTGAATTTGACCCCAGCACATGACATACACCAGGAACAACACAAATTATCAACTGAATAAGTTCTATCTAGAGTCTAGCTCAGACACTGGCACAGAGCAGGCTCCCAAAAATCTCCGTTGACTTGAGGAGACTACAGCCATTTGTTTCCGAGAAACAGCTTAGCTATTTTCCCAGATGACATTTTAGAAGTATTAAATATTCAAT